CGCGCGCTCCTTCGTGGGCCCTCTGCTTCACTTAGATTTGCCCACGGCCGTTAATCGCACACTCGAGCGCTGGCATGGCCGATGGCGCGAGGCCAACTCCCCTAACCTACTCCACATCTACCCCCAATGTGCTGCGGGGGACGGTCCCTACGATGCCCGTTTCTCACCCACCATAGGGCTAGTTACAGTTTGCGTGCCGAACCAACTTTTTCAGGTCCTACTTCAATCGGGGGCCTGGGAGCAGGCCTCCCTCAGCCCTCACCGGCTTTTGCAGGATGCAGCGGCTGGCAGCCCCATCCTTATAGACTTCCAGGCCATGATCATGGTTCGACCATTCTGCCTCCCGCTGTCCCACCTCGCTCGAATCCTCCGCCTCCCCGAACCCTAATCCCTCAGGCCATGCCGACCCCAGAGGCGCAGCACCTGCCGCAGTTCGAGCACGGCGACTTCCGCTGCGCCCCCGCTGAAGCAGTGCCACCACCGCCTACAGCAGTGCAGTGGCTGGTAGGAATAACGACAGGCCACATTTCGCTTTGGTCCCCACTGCCCATCAATGTAGGGCTCCTAATGGAGCAATTCCATGGGCAGGAGACCAGGCTGCCATCCTCTGTGGAAAGGCCGCGCTTTTTTCACCTCCCCATTCTTCAGGAGATGGATGCACGGCCCATCCTATTTGGCACGGGCATACCCTACCGCACCGGCCTTTCGTTGCGGGTCAACATGCGTAGTGGTAACATCCTCATCCCTATAGACTCCGCACCAGGCCAGGCGTGCATCAGTCGGCCCGTCAGGAGGGTCCTCCTCGCACAGATGCTAGCACAGGCCAGCTAGGTTTCACTCACATTTGGCCGCCGTTGGCTTATGGGCTATTTCTTTTTGTTTCCTTGGCACTCCCCCCCTTCTCTCAGCGCGCCCCACGCCGCCATGGTGCCCATGCCTCCCGCGGGTGGTTCCGCTGCGGCCGCGGCGGAGGCGGGCGCGGCCGAGGCCAGCAGGGCGTCGCCTGACACGCGGGAGCTCTTCGGCCTCTCAGGGGACACATACGCCGGTTCGGCTTGGCAGGGCTCCCAATACACGGCCGCCACGCGCGAGTTCAAAAAGTGGTGGCCCTCCACATGCCCGGGCGAGTGGAAGATGCCCAACGGCATGCTATACCCGTTCGTCTGGAAGCTCAAGTCGCTGGACGTCATCGACGGCCAGGTCGTCGAAACCTGGGACTGGGAGTGGATCGAGACCCCAGGCCTGGCGACCATCTCTGAGGTGGAGGCCATGCTGAGGAACCACTACAACCAGCAGCAGGCTGCCGCGCAAGAGGCCCAGGCGCGTGCGGCGGCGACAGCGGCAGGTCTCTCGGCGCTCTCGGCTGCCGCCCGCTCTCTCAACCCGTCGCCCTTCAGTGCCTGAGCGAGCCACGCTAATGACGCATCAGTCAGCGCCCTTCTAGGTCGTCCTAAGCGACCTCGGCGCAACTAGCAGCGTGCATACTTAGGTGGTGGGCTCGCCTAATACTTTCCTTTTTACATCCTTTCAGCGTCTTCTCTCCACCTCGGCAGCCCACCACCTAAACAGCTGGAGCCATGCCGCTCCAACTCAAGGTCGGTCGAGCCGTCCTGCATAGCTGAGTTGTAGACCACGCGAGTCTAACAGCATCCAGCCCATCCCGTCATTGTGCGGCTCTGCAACCTCGGGCAGCCCCGCTAACAGTGAGGCGGCTAAGCGCCGCTCACATATTTCAATTCGCAGACTCGCCACGGCTGAGTCCTCACGCATAGGTGGTGGGTTAACACACTGCTCAGTTCCTGGTTTGCCTGCAGCCCACCACCTATTCAGCCCAAGCCTTATTCGCTCGAGCCAAACTATAACAAAGGAGACACCGCGTCTCCAATTTAAGGCCGGCCAAGCCGGCATACATTCCGCTGCAGTGAGTCCTTCGGGTGCACACACACTGCAACTCTTGCGGCATCAGTCGACACCATCTCAGGCCTAAATGGGATGGGCGCCCATGGCGCAACCGTCAATGCGCCGCACAGGGGCGGAGCCGCCTAATACCTACCTCGGCAGCCCACCTAGCGCTCTTTTCTCCACCGGCCTCTCTTTTAGAGGGCCCTGTCCAGGAGTAGTCGCCATTCATGGGCGCGACTTCTCACTTTGCCGCACTAGTGCGGCCAGCGCAGCACATTTTAGCAGCCTCGCTAAACAGCGATCGGCTAAGCTCACACGGCAATTCGCAGACTCGCCACGGCTGAGTCTAGGGGGTGGGCTGGCCTAATACCCTTGGTTCGCCCTGGCAGCTCACTACCTAGACAGTCCTAGCCACAAGTGCCTCATGAGAGGACCGTGGCCTCTGCCCCGGCGCATCTCTTTGGCCCCCATCCAGGTGTAGCAGGGTCCCCTTGGTCCCTGTGTGCCTGTGAGGGGCCACACGGAGGTGGGTCCCTGTTGCCTGGTCTCGGCTAGCGCCCAGGCACACCCACCTCCCCGACGCGGTAGGCCACGCGAGTCTAGCAGCATCCAGCCTATCCCGTCAATGTGCGGCTCTGCAACCTTGGGCAGCCCCGCTAACAGTGAGGCGGCTAAGCGCCGCTCACATATCTCAATTAGCAGACTCGCCACGGCTGAGTCCTCACTCATAGGTGGTGGGTTAGCACACTGCTCAGATCCCGGTTTGCATGCAGCCCACCACCTATACAGCCCAAGTCATCACACGAGCCTAAACAAAGGAGACACCGCGTCTCCAATTTAAGGCCGGCCAAGCCGACATGCATTCCGCTGCAGTGAGTCCTACAGGTGCACACTCTCACTGCAACTCTTGCGGCATCTGTCGTCACCATCTCAGGCCTACGTGGGATGGGCGCCCATGGTGCAACCGCCAATGCGCCACACAGGGGCGGAGCCGCCTAATACCTACCTCGGCAGCCCAACTAGCGCTCTTTTCTCCACCGGCCCCTCTTTAGAGGGCCCTCCATGAGTAGTCGCCATTCATGGGCGCGACTTCTCACTTTGCCGCACTAGTGCGGACAGCACGGCACATTTTTGCAGCCTCGCTAAACAGCGATCGGCTAAGCACACACAGCAATTCGCAGACTCGCCACGGCTGAGTCTCTAGGTGGTGGGCTGGCCTAATACTCTTGGTTCGCCGTGGCAGCTCACCACCTAGACAGTCCTAGCCACAAGCGCCTCATGAGAGGACCGTGGCACCTTGCCCCGGCGCATCTCTTTGGCCCCCGTCCAGGTATAGCAGGGTCCCCTTGGTCCCTGTGAGGGGCCACACGGAGGTGGGTCCCTGTTGTCTGGTCTCGGCTAGCGCCCAGGCACACCCACCTCCCCGCCGCGGTCGGCCCGTACAGGCCTTTCAGCTGCAGCGTACGCCCTGCAACACGGCAATGCCACTCTGGCCCTTCTTCCTCCCCCGCCTCTTATGACTTCCCCCGCTCTTCCTCCAGTCCAGATCTCCTCCCATGGAGGTTTGGACAGCCGCAATGCGGCCTGGCCATTTTGGCCCTCCGTCCAGCTCTTCCCTCTCAATAGCCGTCCGAAATTCGGAAGGCACTCCCAGGCAGGTCTTTTCTTTTTCCTGCCTCGCACTGCTCTCTGCATCGAGGGCTGCCCTACTATGGGCAACGAAGCAGGGTGCCGCTGATGTCTCTCTTCGCACGGCGCTGCAATCTCCTCCTCTCTCGGTATGATTCCTCTCCTCCCCTCCCTCAGCGCCAATACCTCTCTCCTGACAGTTTTCGGGACGAGAGCGGAAGCAGCTCAGCGTCCATGCTCTCGGGCTTCTCGTGTGCAGCCTGTGCCAGTCCTGTTGGCCGCTGCGCTAAAGCTAACTTGCAACGAACTAAGTATAGTCAAAAAAACCCTCACTCCCTCCCTCCCTCCCTCCCTCCCTCCTCCTCCTCCTCCTCCTCCTCCTCCTCCTCCTCCTCCTCCTGAGGCGCACTCGATATGGACAGGCATCTGCCCCTTCGAGGCTCGACGTTTACCCACATCCAGTGCGCCTCGGCCTTGCGGTCCCCACTCCAAGAAGGTCCAAGACGCACTGGGCATGGATATACAGTGTACATATTGCCCGCACCCACACCCTCTTAGAAGCCTTCCCCCCCCCCCCCCCCCTTCCCCCCCCTCCCCCTCCCCCTACCCCCCTCCCCTCCCCCTACCCCCCTCCCCTCCCCCTCCCCCTGACCCTTGGGGTGCTTCCAAGAAGCCTTGGGGCTCGCTTCGTTCGGGGCCCCGCGAGCGAAGCGAAGCCCCACTCCCCCCCCCTAAAGAAAGCTCGTGGGGGGGGCGGGGCAGGGTCCGCACGTGGCCACTCCAAGGGAGAGGGTGCCCACCCCTGCCCCATGGAGGCTGTTCTTCGGCCTCCCAGAGGGGCTCCCTGGATGGCCCCCCTGGGGCCCGAGGACGGCCGGCAAGAGCCGAAGCCGAAGAACTCCCCGAGTGACAGGACCCCAGACATGATGCCGTCGTGAAAAAATCAGGACGGGAGGTTTTCGCCTATCGTCGGCCCTGGGGAGCCCTCGCCGGGCCTCGGGACCGTCAAAAACGACTCAAGACGCAAAACCGGTCCTGGGGAAAGGGTCGGGACTTCCAGGGGCGCCGTGCTGAAAAAATCAGGACTTCGCATGTTTGGGACCCAAGCCACCGACGCCACGATTTGTACATTCCGTGCCCCCAGGGCCCGACGAGGGTCCCCACAGGCAGAGCATGCCCTCCCAGAACAGAACTTCCGTCAGGTCGTCTTCGTAACCCACAAGCCCGTCGTCGTGACTTTTCATAATGTCGACCCCCACAGGTCTGGACCCCATTGACGGGTTTTTCACCAAGAGTGATTTTTCGACGGTCCCGAGGCCCGGAAAGGCCCCCTGAGGCCGAGCAGAACGGAAAACCTCCCGACGTGATTTTTGTCACAGCGCGAGGGGGTCTGGGAACCCGAGGATGTCGGGGCATCACAACCTGGGAGCTCTGTGCCGACTTTCGTCGCCGACTTTCGTCCCTCAAGCCTCTGCGTCCTCGCGCCAGGCTCCTCGGGGAGCTCGGACCTGGAGGCCTCCCGAATGCGGTTCCCGAGGAGATGGGGTCAGACGATCGCGCCGCATCGCTGACGCACCTGCGATGCATCGGCGCCGAAATCTAGGCCAGCGTCCTGACGTTTCAAGAATAGAAGACCTGGGCAAATTTGTCATTGTCATGCTAGATGGGCGAACGCGCTCAAGAAACTAGGCCAGCTTTCCAGCAGGTCGATTGAGAAACGCCGGTTAAGCTTTTCGGAAGGATGTCTAAACCAGATGCTCGAATATTTGGAGAAAGTCGGGCTCCATCTCGAGCCGCATCTGCGATGCATCGGCGATGCGGCGCGACCCTCCGACCCCATCTTCTCTCAAGACATCCTGTGACGTAACTTTGTTTCACAACGTCGTCCTCCAGAGGTCTTCCCTGGGACTGGCTTCGCATCCTGAATTGTTGTCTGATGCTCCCAAGGCTAGGCGAGAACCCTCAGAGGCCGAAAGAGGCCAAACACCTCCTGTCGTGATGTGTTCACGACGCTAGAATGCTTGGTTTTCGGGTCATAACTCGGCTATCCAGCGGCCGCTTGGGACGATTCGGGCGCCTCGGGACGCTCTCGGCGAGGCGCAGCCGCTGCACGGCATCCCGAGGCTGGAGAGCCGCTGAGAAACAAACGAAACCGCATTAAAAACGAACTCCATTTGAGCGACGGGATCAAAATCGGGTCTTACGCGAGATGGCACAACGACCTTACGCCGACGCTTACATTAGAAAGAACGGCGTGCATTACGAGCGACCTTAGGCGGAAAGCGTACACGCGAATGTCGGCACAGTCGCCCCTGCGTCTTATGTGTGACCTCAATAAGTCTTGAGAACCCCGAATAGCTGGAAACTGATATCTTTTCGGCGAGTTTCTTGACGGACTGCGGCCCCACCAATAATGGACAATTATCATGTCTCCAGAGCGGCACCTGCCGCACAACAACGACGATAACGACGACAACTACGATTACGACTACGACAACGATGCGACTATGGTACGGCTACGACTGCGACTAAGCGTCGTTCGCAACCACGAATACGATTACTTACGACTACGACTACGCCTACGACTACGACTACGACTAAGATTGCGACTACTAGTCGAGTAAAAAACATGTACATTTGCATGAAGGCTACAACGCTGGAAGAAAACCATACAGATGTACATTTCAATCCTGTCACGATTATGCCAAATAACTCTCTCGGGTGTACCCCACGTTACAGTGTGCCCCGGGAGCATTAACCGACCAACTAAATCGTACCCGACGAACATAGCAGGGGAAGTGATACCATGTCGCCGCGAGCGCCGCTCAATGCGTTATGAAGCTCATCGATGTAATGTAAGCAACAGGCATGTCGATCTCTCTTTTCAAGCACCCAACACCTGAAGAACAGCCAGAGAGACTTGTGCTCCAATTATCGTTCGCATGTGCTCAAAGTTTCTCCCGCGTGTGGGGTAGCCCATGTGGCGTTTCACCCAGGAGAAATAGCTCACCAAGAATATCTCGCCCGGAGACCATTACAGGACCAGCTAGTCTCCTCTCGCCGCGAGCGCCGCTCAAGCTTGCGCCTTTGACCTACAGTCAAGGAGCCAACACTTGTAGAGTAACCTTAGCGTGGGTGCGAATGCTCCCTTGAGGACTTCCAAGAAGACCGTGGCCCTCGTGGAGCACTCAAAAAACCCTTGGGGCCCTGAGAGGCCACGGCCCTTGCTGGCACGAGCCGTCTGAGAATCAGAGCCCCTTAGGCTTAGGTCGGGCATGTCCTCCTACGGGCGGGTTCTGGAGGAGACATCAAGAACATGGAGCCAAGAAATGCCCAAAGATAGTCTACAAATCGTCCTCATACTATTTCGTGCATTTTTATTTTATTGTTTTGTTTTACATATTCCTCCCGTAGAGGGACGCGCCCGACTTCACCTGACGCCCATGAGGACCCTTGCCCGCACGGAGCCCTCAGGAAGCCCTTGGTTGGTAGGGAACCGAACTCTCTACACCGACGCCTTTGTCTGGCCTCACACTGGATCTCGCACAGGAAAGCGGATCCTGGTGTATACGGGATCTTGGTGTATACATTCTTCGTTGTTTCCCCGGGAAAACGGGGAAACAGGTATACACCACACCACCCCGACGTCGTCCCCGACCCTCAAAAGGCCCTGGGATTGAAGAACCGCGCGCCACTGGTAATGTAGATGTTCCAGTTTCCGACTTGGGGCCCCGAGAGGCCCAGGCCCTGGCCCGCATGAGCCGCCCGAGGCTCGCAGCCCCTTGGGCCCAGGAGGGCCCTGGCCCGCACGGCGCCCTCGGGAAGACCTTGGGGCCCTGATAGTAGCCCTAAGTCGGGCCTGTCCCCTACAGATCGATTTTCGACGAAAGAAATAAAAATAGTCCAAAAATGCACCAAATAGTCAAAACCAGTAACAAAAAACGTCCCCTGACTGTTTTTGGACTATGTTGGAATACTCCTCCTGTAGAGGGACAGGCCCGACTTAACAGTAGCCTTCGCATGCTTTGCCCTCAGGGCCCTGAGGATGAGGAGCAGGAGCAGGAAGAGGAGCGGGAGCAGGAGGAGGAGGGACGAGTTTTTTTCCGCCGAGAGGAACATGGGGGGGTACAAAACCAAAAGCCTCGGAAGATAACAAGTCATGTTTAATATGACTCTCACGCATAACACACCTAACGTCTCCTTCCGTCGCTCATTTCCCAGACCCCCCCGACGTCATGATTGTTGTCAAAATGTCGACCCCCAGAGGTCTCGACCCATTCCCCGGAACCGGCTTTTCCTCCCGAGTCGTTTTTTGACAGTCCTGGGGCCTGGCGATGGCCCCCAGAGGCCGGAAATGACCAAAGACCGTCCGTCCGGTCGTGTTTTGTTTTCAAGACTCGAGGGGGTCTGGGCTTGTCGGCTACACGCAAGAGTGGCCCTGGGCACAAGTGTGACCTCTGATACGCGGCTCAACCCGCGGCGCGGGGTGGCCAAACACAGGCGCGCAAGCCGACGCTATCGCATTGCGCTCGGCGGTCCGGGGACCCCAGTGTGCCCGCACCAGGATGTCACTCCCGCGAAGGGCCACTCTTATATGCAGAAGCAGGGGATGTGTCGACCCCTATCCCAGGCTTCGAGGGGTTTTCGAATGGACCACAGATTTGGGGTCCAACCATGGGATATGCGGTGAGGGGGGTGTCCATCCTCGAAAGGAGTGCGACCGAATAGCCCCCTTGGGTTGTATCTCAGGGTTCGACTCCTTCTCTGAGCGGCTTCACTCTTCAAAAGCCGGGGGCTGGGGGAGAACAATCGCCTGCGAATGTCGCCGACCCCCAGAGGTCTGGAGTCTGGACCCCGTCCCCAAGACTGGTTACAACATCCTGCGCCGTTTCTTGACGGTCCCGGGGCCCAGCTCGGGCTCCCGGAGCCCGAAAACAGCGAGAATAACCTAGAGGTCTCCTCGATGGGGTCCGAGTAGGTGTCGGAGGATCGCGCCGCATCGCCGATGTATCGGCGATACATTTGCCCGATGCATCGGCGATGCATCGGCGACGTCGGCGAGGCATCGGCGCCATCGGAGTGGAGCAAATCGGGCTCCACATCGAGCCGCATCGCCGATGCACCGGCGATGTGGCGCGTTACTCCGACCCCATCTACTCGGACCCCATCTAGGCGGCTTAGATTCACAGAGAGGGGTAGGAGGAGGAAGAGGAGGAGGGGGAGGAGGAGGAGGAGGACAAGGAGGAGGAGGAGGAGGAGGAGGGGGAGGAGGACCCCATCTAGGACACCTAGACAAAAACTGAGAAAAACCTCCCGTCGTGATATCGCGAAAGGGTGTGGGACGCCTGCAGTCGAATTTGCGAGGCCTGGAGGACCGGGGCGGGGGCGGAGGAGGTGGGGGAGGACAAGCTAGGTGCGCTCGCGTCATATCTGACATCCTACCCCTCCCTCCCATCCCTTACCATGGCGTAGATCCCCTCTCTACTCGCACAGTCGGATGTTGAGCAGGGCGATGATCCCGAAAGGGTACGCGATGCATTGCAGAGCACGGCATGGCATGGCGTAGAACAGCACCGCAAAGCGTAGTATGTCACAGCATGCCGTTTTGTGGCGTTGTGAAGAATTGCATCACAAAGCTTTGCAACGCAAAGCATGGCATCGCACAGCGGCCCCGAACATAACGTTGCATAGCATGGCGTTGAAGATCAAAGCGTAGCATGGCATAGCATGACGTGGCACTTACGCACTGGATATGACAGCTGCAGCTGAAGGCATGGCATCGCGCAGCCGAACGCAACCTAGCAATGCATTGCATGCCGTGGCATGGCACGGGAAATGACGCCAGCGCTGCAGCGGGAGCACGATTTGGAACGAGCGGAAGCGCAGAAATGAGGCCAGCGCTGCAGCGGGAGCACGAATCGGAAAGAGCGGAAGCACGGAAATGAGGCCAACGCTGCAGCGGGAGCACGATTCGGAACGAGCGGAAGCCCGAACATGAAACCCGCGCCTCAGCGAGAACATCATTTTGAACAAAAAAACCAGCGAAAACCCAACTCCGGGAAATCCTGTGTGTAAAAAAACAGTACGCGGAGGGGTGCCCGCTATCTTCCGCACGCCATCAGGGGATGGAGGAGAGTAGTATTCATATTGTGTAACTGTGGAGGAGGAGGAGGAGGAGGAGGAGGAGGAGGGGGAGGAGGAGGGGAGGGAGGAGGAGGAGGAGAGGAGGGAGGAGGAGGAGGAGAGGAGGAGGGAGAGGAGGAGGAGGAGGAGGAGAGGAAGAGGAGGAGGAGGAGGGGAGGGAGGACGGAGGAGGAGGAGGAGGAGGAGAGGAGGAGGAGGAGCAGGAAGAGGAGAGGAGGAGGAGGACGAGGAGGACGAGGAGGGGAGGAGGAGAGGGGAGGAGGAGGAGGAGGAGGAGGAGAGGAGGAGGAGGAGGAGGGAGGAGGAGGACGAGGAGGAGGAGGAGAGGACGAGGAGGAGGAGGAGGTCTGGGTTACCTGCACCCAGGTCTTTGCGAGGCCTGGGGGACCGCGGCGGGCAGTGGCGCGCGATCCACCGGCACACCACCAGCGACGGCGGAGGCCCCCCGTCCTGGCCCCTGCCCGGCGTGCCAGCGCCCGCCTCCGGCTGGGGCGGGGAGCCGCCGGGGAGGCTGACGAAGGAGCCTGCGGAGGGCGAGGCCAGGACAGGGGCAGGCCCACGGGCGGCGAGATCTGCAGTCTGAGCCCCAGACATATGGCGGCGTCGTAAAAAAACAGGGCTGGAGGTTTGGGGCTCTTTTCGGCCCCGCCGGGCCTCGGGCCCGTCAAAGAACGACTCAGGACGGAGATCCAGTCACGAGGAAAGGGTCGGGACTTCCCAGGGACGCCGTCCTGAAAAAATCAAGACGTCGCATGTCTGGGGAGATCTGCATTTTGAGCAGGGACCGGCCGTCCCGGCATGCCTATAGTAGACGAGCTCGTTCCACAACTCGCAGAGTAACTGTTCGCAAATGGTCTGGATCCGCCGCGGTGGATTTACGAAACATGGCATCGGCGCCAGCATATATGTTCGGACGTTTGCGAGTAGGCACGTTGCGAGTAGTGGAACGCGCTCGGTGATATAGGCCAAACACGATATGTTCCAACAGCCCAACACCAACAGCGTTCTAAGAGCAGGAACCATGTTATTCAAACATAAGCCCGTTGTGTTAAAGCACGACGGTCTCAGCCAGAAATGTTGTAAGAACATTTCGTGCAGGCCAAATCAGGTTCTTAGAACATTGGTCGGTGGACATATGGGCAAGCCAGGACGCTTCGCCACTGCTCGAGCAGTCGGGCTGCTCAAAAAAGAAACCTGAAATAAGGAGCGATGCCCTATTTCTGATACCAAGAAATAAAGCTGGGTGCACCGGGAGGGCCCAACAGGAACCACTACGACATGACCTAAAGATCAGCAAGAGCCACTTCCGAACCCAAAGCGGCCTTCATGTCGGCATCTTGGCTGTAGAACTGGCGACTCCGAGGGGTGCGGCTTACAAAGGGCGGGGTTTGCAACAGGCACCCTGGGGGGCACCTGAGGGAGCGGGCGGGGACCTCGATAGAGTTCTCAGCCGTGCCCCGAGGCGGCCCGATGAGGACGGCGTCGTGCCCCCAAGGCCCCAACGGCGCCGATCGCAAACTACAACCTTGGCGGAGCCTCACCCTCTTTAGTCGCCGACGTACATATCCACTGCCCCTTGGCCGGGGCCATCCTGAACACGGCAGCGGTGCAGACGGCACGCCCTCCTGGCTTGGCCAGCCGGGAGGGCATATACACAGCTCCGGGGCACAGGACGGGCCCGGCCAGGGGGCAGTGGAGATGTACAGATCTCGTCGCCCGAAAACCAAGACACGCACTCCCCGGAGGTCCGAAACGCCACACTATTTTCGGCCTCCAAGTGCACTCAACGGGCAGCGGGACCGTCAAAAAACTCGGCACTCGGGCCAGTCCAGATCCGAGTCAGCCAGGCTATGCAACATCCTGCAAGGTCCTGCCAGATCCTACAGGATCCTGCACCCAAGCCCGGGTCAATGCGACCGTGTCCCTGCAGGATCTTGCAAGATCCGGCGCTCTGACTGACCCCCGTTTGCATCGACCCCGGTCTCTTGAGCCCCGAGCAACGATTCACCCTGAAAAACCGGCCCTGCAGGGAAGGGGCCCAGATCTCAAGGCCTCCACGCACCGAAAGCACTCGAGCGCTGGATGTCTGGGTCTCCTCGCTCGTGCCGGCCACGGGGGTTTTAGGGCGGGGGCGGGGAGTTCTGGGCAGCTCCGGCGGCCGTGTTGACAAACCGCAGGGCCTCGCATGTCTGGGAGAGCGACCAGGACACATCGGGGGTCACTGAGCTCCGGCGGCTCTGGAGGATTCATCGAGCGCCGCGGCCGTTCCAAATAGAGGCCTCCTGAATTGGGTCGGAGTAGATGGGGTCGGAGGATCGCGCCGCATCGCCGGCGATCCATCGGCGGCGTCAGCAAGGCATCGGGGCCATCGGCGTGGAGCAAATCGGGCTCCACGTCGAGACGCATCGCCGATGCATCGGCGATGCGGCGCGATCCTCCGACCCCATCTACTCCGCCCTCATCTAGGAGGCCTAGATTCACAGAGAGGGATAGGAGGAGGAGGAGAAGAAAGAAGAGGAGGAGAAGGAGGAGGAGGAGGAGGAGGAGATGGACGAGGGAGGAGGAGGGGGAGGGGGAGGGGGAGGAGGAGGAGGAGGAGGAGGAGGAGGAGGAGGAGGACGAGGAGGAGGCCTGGGCCACAGCGCTCCAGAACGATTTGAGCAAGCGTTCCAGAGCGCTCTCTGGGACGAGGTACTTACCCCTGTCCTGGCCCCGCCCGAAGGAACCCGCGGACTTCTGCTGCGGGTGCGGCCGCCGCCGGAAGTACCTCGAGGAACAACACACTTCAGACACGATCGCGTCGTAAAAAAATCAGGACGGGAAGATTTTGGCTATTTTCGGCGCCAGGGAGCCCTCGCCGGGCCTCGGGACCGTCAAAAAACGACTCAGGACGAAGGTCCAGTCACGGGGAAAGGGTCGGGACTTCCCATTGACGCCGTCCTGAAAAAATCAAGACGTCGCATGTCTGGGGAGATCTGCAGCTTGAGCAGGGACCGGCCGTCCCGGCATGCCTATAGTAGACGAGCGCGTTCCACAACTCGCAGAGTAACTGTTCGCAAATGGTCTGGATCCGCCGCGGGGGATTTACGAGACATGGTATCGAAGCCAGCATATGTGTTCGGACGTTTGCGAGTAGGCACGCTGCGAGTAGTGGAACGCGCTCGGTGATATAGGCCCAACACGATATGTTCGCATAACTCAACACCAACAGCGTTCTAAGAACAGGAACCATGTTCTTAGAATACAAGCCCGATGCGATAAAGCATGACAGTCTCAGCCAGACCTGTTCTAAGAACATTTCGTGCAGATCAAGTCAGGTTCTTACAACATTTGTCGGTGGACATATGGGCAAGCCAGGACGCTTCGCCACTGCTAGAGCAGTCGGGCTGCTCAAAAAAGGAACCTTGAATAAGGAGCGATGCCCTATTTTTGATACCAAGAAATACAGCTGGGTGCACGGGGAAGGCTCAACAGGAACCACTACGACATGACTCAAGGATCAGCGAGAGCCCCTTCCGAACCCAGAGCGGCCTTCATGTCGGCATCTTGGCTGTAGAACTGGCAACTCCGGTGTGGCTTGCAAAGGGTGGGGTTTGAAACCGGCACCCTGGGGGGCACCTGAGGGAGCGGGCGGGGACCTCGATAGAGTTCTGAGCCGCGCCCCGAGGCGGCCCGATGAGGACGGCGTCGTTCCCCCAAGGCCCCAACGGCGCCGATCGCAAACTACACCCTGGCGGAGCCTCACCCTCTTCAGGCGGCGATAGATATACATACCTATACGACCACCCTTCGGGTGACAAGGAGGTTCGGGGGGGGGGGAACCAACGTCTCACTCGATCGGTCTCACTATCAATCTCACTATCGATCTTACTATCGGTCTCGCACGATCGATCTCACCCGACCGATCTCACAATCGATCTCACTCGATCTATTTCATTCGATCGATCTCACAATCGATCTGCCTATCGATCTCACAATCGACCTCATTATCGATCTCACTATCGATCTCACAATCGATCTCACATTCGGTCTCACTATCGATCTCACTATCGATCTCACTACCGATATCACAATCAAGGCCAGCATCATCATCATCATCATCAGTATCATCGTCATCAACACAATCAACATCATCATGGGGACAACATCATCATCACCATCACCTCATCACCATCATCATCAACATCATCATCGGGACACCATCATCGTCACCATTATCATCAACATCATCATCATCATCATCATCGGAACATCGTCATCATCATCGGAACACCAGCATCATCATCAACCCATCACCATCATGAACAACATCATCACCCTCATCATCATCGGGACACCATCATCAGCAACATCATCATCATCATCATCAGCATCATCATCATCGGGGCACCATCATCATCGTCACAATCATCATGACCATCATCATCATAATCACCGGTACACCATCATCATCAACATCAGCATCATCAACATCAGCATCATCAACATCACCATCATCGGGCCACCATCATCAAAATCATCACCATTACCTCGTCATCCTCATCATCAACATCATCATCATCGCCATCGGGACACCATCATCGTCATCATCATCAACATCATCATCATCTGGCCACCATCATCATCACCATCATCAAAAATCATCATCATCATCATCATTAACCTCATTATCACCATAGGGACACCATCATCACCATCATCTTCATCATCATCATCTCATCATCATCCTCATCATCAACATCATCAGGATCATCAACATCGTTATCATCGGGACACCAACATCATCCACATCATAATCAACATGATCATCTTCATCATCACGAGGACACCATCATCATCACCACCATCACCATCATCATCATCATCATCAACATCGTCATCATCATCATCGGGACACCATCATCATCACCACCATCACCATCACCATCATCATCAACATCATCGACATCATCATCATCACCATCATCATCGTCATCATCATCATCATCATCATCATCATCATCATCATCATCATCATCATCATCATCGGGACACCGACGGGACACCGGCGGGACACCGGCGGGACACCGCGGTCCACCAGCCCCTGGAAAGGAATCATTTGGTCCGGCCGCGCCTCAGCCGGAGGAGACTTTCTTCCCGCCCGCCCACGCAGCTTCGCCTCGCCCGCACGCACGGCACGCACGAACACGAAACCGAAACCGATTTCCCGGTAGGGGTGCTCTCCGTTTCGCTTCGATCTCACCCCCTCACCTCCGATATATGTATATATATATATATATACATACATATACATATACATACATAAATATGTGTATATATATATATATGTCCAATGCCCCTTGGCCGGGGCCATCCTGAACCCAGCAGCGGTGTATACGGCACGTCCTCCTGGCTTGGCCGTGTCTGGGAGCACGCGCCGAGACCCGGGCGTGGCACTCTGCTCGCGCCGGGCGCCCTCGCCTGGCCTCGAGCCTGGGGCGGCCCTCGGGGAGCGAGCTGGCCCGAAGCGTGCAGCAGACGGTCGAGGTCTGGGGCTCTGGTCGTTATTGGTTCGGCGGCGGACGAGCCTCCCTTCAGTAAGCCTCCCAAGAGAGTGGAAAAAGGCCCAGGGCCGAAACCGACGGACCTGGGCCCGCACAAGCGAAGGCCGCGGCGCCCTCTGGCGAAACGAAAACGGTGAATTCGCTAATCGACGTGTCAGGGTAGGAGGTCTATCAACCTCCGATTGTTCGCGATGGTGCGAATTTTCTCGCGTCGTCTCCAGACCCCCGACGTCGCGATTTTTGTTCATACCGTCAACCCCCAAGGGTCTGGACCTCTTCCCGCGGGACTGGTTTCTCTTCCTGAATCGTTCATTGACGGCCCGGAGGCCCCGTAAGGCCCCCAGAAACAGAAAATAGCAACAAACCTCCCGTCATGTTTTTTTCATAACTCGATGGGGGTCTGGGTTGTTCAAAGACGACGATAACAACGGGAACGATCACAACGATCAAATCGATAACAACGATCAATGGCTTTCCTCCTGCTGTACCGAGTACGCGACACGGGATAAACAAAAAGGCTCGCCGAGGACTTGGCCGACCCTCGGTGGGAACTCGCTGGCTAAGCTTGCTCGAGTTTCGAACTTATCGCTGTGCTCGTTGTCGTGGTGATGGCAGGAGAGCCTAGAAACAAATCGCCAAGTCGGCTCGGATATCGACATGAATCGGACCGGCGAAAATCGGCAGCTGAGTCGGAAGAAGTCGAATCGGAAGAAATCGGCATGCTAGTAGGCCATCATTGAAGAATCGGAGCCCACATCGGAATCCGAAGTCGAATCGCATCGGAATCGGAAACCATCGAAATCGAATCGAATCGAATGGAATCGGAGAAATCGAGGAGGAGCCCTGTTTGATGCCGTTTTCTCGCAGCGTCGGATCTCAGGGACGGGGCACGCAGAAGCCAACGCGTGCGGAGGCCCGCAGAGACGGCTCGCATCGGCGCCAGGCCGCCCCCCCCCCGCTCGGGCGGAAGGCCCGGCGCCGATCTTTTGTCATCACAGCCAGACCTGGGATTAGGTCCGGCATGTCCTCCTACAGGCGGATTTGGAGGACATACAAAAAGAACTTAAGCAATAATCAAACGTAGACCAAACATAACAAAACATCGTCCCGAGACTTTTTGTTTGACAATGTTTGAAACTTCCTCCTGTAGAGGGACACGCCCGATTTAAACCTAGGACAGAACAGCATCCTTTAAGTTGGGCGGCGCTTACAGTCAAGTCAACCCGTGTAGAAAAGGAAGCGCGGTAAAGCTGCAAGGGCCTTGGAGGGCCATATTAACACTGTTCGAAAAAGGTTGGCCAGCGAAAGTCGACAAGGATGGGCCGAAGGGGCGAGGATGTAAGGGTACCCTTGGGAATGTTGTCCATCCTTGCTACACAGGTTGACTGTAGTGTGGGGGGGGGGGGGGGCGAAAAGTGTAAGGGAGGGGGGGGGAGACGGGTGCACTGTTCGGTCCCTCCCTAAAAATCCCTTCTGGGGTGCCCGAAGAGCCCCTTCAGGGGCCCTAAGCCTAAGTGGCCCCTTTTTTTTGCAGCCCTGGCTTCCCTCTATTTATCGCCCCAGCGCATGTCCACATGATGTATCTTAGCAATTGTCTACACTTTGTGTACACTTGCGTTTGTAGTCCGGCGGGGACAGACCAGAGGATTTATTAACCCTGTAGTGTTGCCAGACGAAACACTTAAATCTGTACCGCATGACTTTGCCGGAGGAAACAAATCTATTTATCGCCCCCCACTACGCGACGCCAAATCAAGAACATGAGACCCTCCGACGGCCAAACTGAAGAGCATTCGAGGGCACCCACCCCCGGGGTGCACGAGAACATCCAACAACCACGAAGAACATCAGAGTAGACCCTCCCCAAACCGACCTCGATCTTACACCCCGGCCCGACCGCAGCTACATCCGACGCCAGACCGGATGCGCGCTCCCAGGCGCCCCGACTCCCACCCCGCGGCCGATGTGTCGCCCCGGATCCCTCTTTGATGGCCTTTGGGCGCGAGGGCGGGCCCCGAATGCAGAAGCCAAGGACCCGCGCCGGAAGGCTACAGATACCATAAAATCGGAGAGATGGGATCCAAGAAGCCCGCGTTGACCTCCCAGACGTGCGATGTCCTGTCCTGTCCCAACCATTATGTTTTTTTTTTTGCCCCAGCCATACAGCATCCCGCGATCCCCTCCTCTCCTCTCCTCCTCCTCCTCCTCCTCCTCCTTCTCCTCCTCCTCCTCCTCCTCCTCCTCCTCTTCCGCCTCTCCTCCTCCTCCTCCTTCTCCTCCTCCTCCTCCTCTTCCCATCCCTGCCTGTGTTCTCCGAGAATAAACCACTTCGGCACACCCCTCACACGCTTCGTGGCACCATAAGGGAGCTCCACCGAAGGTCCCAGTGGGCGCCGCCCACATGCATCCGACCCACACTTTTCGGCACATCGCCCACGAGGATCGTGTCCCCACAACGAGCTCCGCCGAAAGTCCCACGGGCACCGCACGCATGCGTCCGACCCATCCATGTCGGCACACCCCTCACATGGACCGTGGCCCCAAAAGGAGCTCCGCCGAGAGTTCTGGGGGCGCCGCCCGAATGCGTCCGACCCGCCCATTTCGGCACACCTCTCACGAGGATCGCGGCCCAATAGGGACCTGCACCGAAAGTCCCAAGGGGCGCCGCCCGCATGCGTTCGACCAACCCATTTCAGCACACACACACACACACCTCACGAGGAACGTGGCACTGTAGGGAGCTCCACCGAAGGTCCCAAGGGGCGCCGCCCGCATGTGCCCGACCAAAACATTCGGCACACCCCTCACGAGGATCGTTGCCTCATAGGGGACACCACCCAAGGCCCCAAGGGCGCCACCCGCAGGCGTCCGACACACCCATTCGGCACACCCATCGCGAGGATCGTGGCCCCATGGGGAGCTTCACCGAAGTTCCCAGGGGAGCCGCCCGCATGCGTCCGACCCACCCTGTTCGGCACACCCATCACGATGATCGCGGCCCCATAGGGGGCCCAACGATGGCCCACCCATGTCAGCACACCCCTCACGAGGACCGTGGCCCAATCGGGAGCTCCAGAAAAGGCTCTTGGGGCTCCGCGCGCACGCGTCCGACAAACCCATTTCGGCACACCTCTCACGAGGGCCCTGGCCCCACGGGGAGCCCCACCGAGAGTCCTAGGGGCGCCGCCCGCACGCGTCCGACGCACCAATTTCGGCACACCCTTCAACAGGACCGTGGCCCCATCGGGAGCTCCACCGAAAGTCCCAAGGGCGCCGCCCACATGCGTCCGAACCATAAATTGGGCACGTCCGTCACACGTTCCGTGGCCATTACGGGTGCTCCACCGAATGTCCCGCACGCGTCCGGAAATCGTGGCCCCAAGAAGGAAGCTCCACCGCGGGTCCTAAATGAGCCGCCCGCATACGTCCGACCCACCTATTTCAGCACATACCTCGCACGCTTCGTCGCCCCACAGGGAGACCCACCAAAGGCCTCAGTGGCGCCGCCTGCATGCTTCCCCGCCACCAATTTCGGAACACCCCTCACACGCTTCTTGGCCCCATAGGGAGCCTCACCAAAGGTCCCAGGAGCGCCGCCCGCATGCGTCCCAGCCACCCATGTCTGCTCTCACACACGTTTCGTGGCCCCATTAGGGAGCTCCACCAAGGGTCGCAGAGGCGCCGCCCGCATGCGTCCCCGCCACCCATGTCTGCTCTGCACACTCCTCACGTGTTTCGTGGCCCACATAAGGAGCTCCACCAAAGGCCACAGTGGCGTCGCCCGCATCCGTCCCCGCTACCCACTGGGCCCATAGGGGGCTCCACCGAAGATGATACTGGAACTGCGGTATTCACAACTGCAGATGGTTAGGTCCTTCGCCAGGCTAATTATCAGGTTTTTCTCGACGCGTCAAAATGGACCACGCCAGCACCGCGGCAAACCCACGGCAAACCCACAGGGACCCACCGCGCCTGAAGCGGCGTTTGCCCTGGTGGCCGAGGCGCCCTCCCCAAGACGTAAGGCCGCGCGTCGGAAAAAACGGCGCGGCGACATAGGTACGGGGTCCCCATGGCCCCGGGGTCCCCATGGCCCCGACCCCTTCCCCCAAGCTGGTTTTCCATCCCGATTCCTTCTTTGACGGTCCCGGGGCCCAGCGAGGGCCTCTCGAGGCAGAACATCGCATTAAGAAAAACGCCGCCTCCAGCTTTGCAACACGCTGGACCTATGGCAGCCCGCGTTGACCTCCCCACCTGAACCTGTTCTAGAGGCCTCCTAGATGGGGTCGGAAGATCGCGCCGCAACGTTGATGCATCGGCGATACGTCGCCGATGCATCGGCGATGCATCGGCGGTGCGTCGGCGACGCCAGGGTGGAGAAATCGAGCTCCACATCGCCGATGCATCGCCGATGCGGAGCGATCCTCCGACCCTGTCCCTCTTCGGGGGCGGCAAAGAGGGGGGTGTCCAAGAGGAGGGGGTGCAAATCATGACCGGCGGCAGGTGCGCGGCCCAGCGGGGGGGGCCAGGGACGCAATGAAATAAGAGGAGGCGCCATGAAATCTGGGGAAATATCATGGCCCCCGCCATGATATCCAGCCCCCCCGTAGTCATCACCCCCCTCTTCTCCGCCCCCGACCTCTGGGAGGCCCGCAGCTGTTCCCCCCTCCGCAGGCGCCCGAGCGCGGCGGCCATGGCGAGCACCGTCTGGGGGGGCGGCCTCGCCTCCTCGCCCCAGTGCCGCAGGATCAGCTCCTCCAGGGAGGCGTCCAGCGACCGCCGGTCCTCCGCGAAGGGCGCCTGTGGGCGCCGCGCTGGGGGGAGGGGAAGGGAGGAGGAGGGGAAGGGAGGAGGAGGAGGAGGAGGAGGAGGAGGAGGAGGAGGAGGAGGAGGAGGAGGAGGGGGAGGAGGGGGGGGAGGAGGAGGGGGAGGAGGAGGAGGAGGAAGGGGACAGACTCGAGTAGGGGACCGACTACAGAATTCAATGGCCCCAGATTTCATTCGCCCGTCGGGTCTGCGAAGAATGCGCCGTAGATCCACGCAGCAAAGAGAGAGAGAGAGAGAGAGAGAAAGAGAAAGAGAGAGAGAAAGGAAGGGCGAGAGACGGTGTGTGGGCTCCGATGGTCTGGACCACTCCCCCAGGGCCGACTTTTAGTCCCGAGGCTGTTGTTGACGCTCCTGAGGCTCAGCGAGGGCCCCCAGAGGCCGAACACGGCCTCCGATGTTTGCTGGAGCGCCTCGGGGCGAGAACACGGCCAAAGACCGCCCGGCCTCCAATTCTTGTCGGGGGCGTGTCGGGGCGAGCGAGAGAGCGAGAGGGAGAGAGAGAGAGGAGGAGCGAGGGCTTCCGAGGAAGGGCCCGAGGGCTTCGGAGAGGCCCCGCCGCCTCTCGAGAAGGCCCGACCCCCCTCCCCCCCCCCCCCCGGGACGCATAGAGACATACTAGTATGAAGGGGCCTTGGGACACACAAATAAATACAAACAAGTAACAGGATTCCCTATATTTTCCCATATTTTCTGGGTTTTTGGTCTCCCCCCCACACTTCCCGTGTTTTCCCCTATTTTCTAAGGAATCGACGATTATTTGTCTGTGTGTTTTTCCCCTCCTGATAATACTAGATGCCATCCTCGGAGGCGCGCGTCCGACCCGATCATATAGTAGAACCATACTGGGAAACATCGTTTCCCAAGCGGCACCGCCAGAAAACGCCCGCCGCGATGCATGCAGTACAAGACTTCTCGGCGCGCGCACACAACATATTAGGTCGGGCATGTCCCTCCCCCTACAGGCGGAGCTTGGACGAACAATGAAAACATATCCAACAAATACACCTAAAATCATCAAAAATGGTAGACAAAATCGTCCCCAGACCATTTTTTACCATTTCTGAATATCCCTCCTGTGGAGGGACAGGCCCGACTCAAACACAACATCGGCATGTTGGGGCGCGCCGCCGAACCCCTTCCCCCCTCTCTCTCGCCTCCCCCTGCCGTCGCTCGGACGTCCCTTCCCCGTGCATTGTTCGATGTCGTGCGTGCTCGTTTGTTGCTCGATGGTCCAGGATGCTCCTCGATGGTCCTCGCCGAGGAAAAAAAAAAAAAGAGGCACACGTCCGAGCGGTGCCAAGCCCCCCCCCCCCATCGGTGCGCCGCCGAGCCTGGGCGAGGCGGTAGAAGCGCGAGAGGAACTGCTGCTGGGAGGCCCGCCCCGTCTGCAGCAGGTGCACCTCCTCCTGCGGAGACGCCGCCAGGAACGAGGACAGCACCGGGCGGCGATACGTCCCCAGACTGGTGGACGCCATGGCAGTGGACACTCTGACAGGAATCCTACCATTGAGATGAAGATGTGTTTAGAATGTGTGAAGCATGCTCTAAACATGTTTCAAGCATGTGTGTAACAGATTCAAAACATAGTTGAAACATCTTTCAGACAGCTGGAAAATATTTGGCAGCATACTTCCGCTCCATTAATCGACTTCCACAACCCCAGACATGATCGCGTCGTGAACAAATCAGGCCGAGAGGTTCTTGGCTATTTTTAGCCCCGGGTGACCTTCGCCGGGCCTCGGGAACGTCAACAAACGACTCAGGACGAGAAACCAGCCCCGGGGAAAGGGTCGGGGCTTCCAGGAACACGCCGTCCTGAAGAAATCAGAACGTCGCACGTCTGGGTCGAGTCTCTGAGATCCAGCGGCTGCGGAGGATCTATCGGGCGCCATGGCCTTCTGAGAGCGTTCCGGAACGCGGCCAGAGCTTTCCAGAACGCTCTGGGACGCATTTATCCTCGTCCTGGCCTGAAGTCGGGCGTGTCCCCCACAGGGGATTGTGGGCGAAAAACAATACTCACAAAATACCCCCCACACGCTCGAAAATAATCAAACAATCGTCCCAGACTGTTTTTGCATTTTTTATTAAAAACAAAAAATTAGATAGCCCTCCTGGGCAGGGACAGGCCCGACTTCATCCTGGCCCCGTCCGGCTCCTGGAAGAGCAGCGCGAAGGCGTCGGAGGCCCGCTCCTGGGCGGCTGGGAACCGCGGCCAGTGGTAGTAGAACGCCCGGAGGGGCGCCGGCTCGGTGATGCTGGACTCCGCCCACCTGTCGGCGGCGAGCCAGGATTATGTGGGGCGTGTCCCCCTGCAGAAGGATTTTCGAAGAGAAATGCAAAACATACTCCAAAAATGCCCCAAAAAGGTATACAAAAAAATAATTCCCAAACTATTTTTGGACTATGTTTGGAATATTTTTGAGTATGTAATATTTTTCGTCGAAAATCCCCCTGTAGGGGGACAGGTCCGACTTAAAGCCAGGGGGGAAGCGAGAAGAGGCGGGCCTTCTCGAAAGGCTCGGAAGTAGGGGAACACAAAGTGGCATAAGCATAAAAACCCGGAGGTCCGCGCGGATTTCTCGGGTCGGCGCTGGACCCCCCTCCCTGGCGCGCCGGAGGCGCCGCCGGGGGGCCCCAGCGCCGATCCGAGAAATCCGCGCGGACCTCCGAGTTCTTATGTTTATGTCACTTGTTGTTCCCCTAGGAAGTCCCCCGGCCTTCTGAGAAGTTTTCCGGGCCTTCCCCGAAGACGCAGAGCACCTCCCAGAAGGCCGGAGGCCTTCTGAGGAGCCCCGCCGCCTTCTGAGAAGGCCTCCTCCTTCTCCCTTCCCCCCCTCCCTCGACGCCGAACCTGATGCCGCCGCCGCCTCGGATGGAGTACGTCACGCTGAACATCGGCACGCTTTCCCCGGCCGCGGACTCGAGCGAGGCCAACCTCGGGGAGGACGACAGCGCCGAGCCGGCGGCCCCGGCCGCCGCGTGGGGCACGGCGAGCCATGCCGACGCCCGCCAGAGTCTCCGGCCGCCGGTCTCGCAGGGCTCCATCGCGAGCTCCTGCTGGAGCTCGCGGAGCTCGTTCGAGCTCACGAAGACGTGCTGGTTGGGCCCGGGCGCGGTGTCGATCACCGCCGTGAAGGTGACCTCCTTCTGCTCCGCCGCGCGCCGCCGGACCCCGCGGCCAGTTCCGTAGCCCTCCGCGGCGTCGTAGCCCATGATACCACCATACAAGCCTTCCATCCCCAGACCCAGTATGTCGTCATGGCCTTCGAGGACGTCGTCATCGCCCATGCCGCTCACCGCGCAACAACAAGAAGACAGCCACGACTACAGGACGCAAATTTTATCCCGTGGGACACCGGCAAACACAGCTGGAAATCCACTGGGCGGCGCTCCCGCAGGGCCGACGCGACTGCTCCGTGGGATACCGCATCCGCAGACGGCCTTTGCGCCGATGGGGCCCCACCGCGGCAGTGGCCCGGAGCCAAGACGGCCCGTCCTCGTCGTCGCTCGCGTCTTCCGCTCCTTCCTGATCGACATCCTCCAACGCCGACCTCGTGCGCGTCGGCCTCCTCCTCCTCCTCCTCCTCGACCTCCTCTTGCTCATGCCCCTCGTGCTCACGCTGCCCCCCCCCTCCCCTATCATGGTGCTCATCCCTCCTCGAGCATGCTTCCTCCGGCGTGCTCCCTTCTCCAGCTCCTGGCCCCCCTCCTCGACTGCCCTCCATCGTCTCCCGCCCTCCCCAGACCTGCGATGTCCTGACTTGGTTCCAGCACGTGGCCCCCTGAAGTCCCCATGATGATGATGATGATGATGATGATGATGATGATGATGATGATGATGATGATGATGATGATGATGATGATGATGATGATGATGATGATGATGAGTATGATGATGAGGAGGAGAAGGAGAAGAAGGAGGAGGAAGAGCAGAAGGAAGAGGAGGATCGAGGAGGAGGAGGAGGAGGAGGAGGAGGAGGATCGAGGAGGAGGAGGAGGAGGAGCACGGGGCCCCCTGAAGTCCCCACCCCCTCCCCAGCACCGGCTTTTCACCGCGCATCGTTCTCTCGTGGCGCGGGGTGGCCAGGCGAGGGCCCCCCCAGGGGCCGACAATAGCCAAGAGCCTCCCGTCGTAGTTTCTTCCCCCTCTCGACGCGAGCATGTCTGGGTCGCTCTCCTCGAGTGTGGAAGCTGGGGAAGACGCAGTTGAAGCTGTCGGCCTCTCCTCCTCCTCCTCCTCCTCCTCCTCCTCCTCCTCCTCCTCGATCCTCCTCGAACCTCCTCGATGCTCCTCCTCCTCCTCCTCCTCTTCGATCCTCCTCCTCCTCCTCGATCCTCCTCGATCCTCCTCGATCCTCCTCGATCCTCCTCGATCCTCCTCGATCCCTCCTCGATCCTCCTCGATCCTCCTCGACCCCTCCTCGATCCTCCTCGACCCTCCTCGATCCTCGAGCGTGGCCGCGGGCGCCAGGAGGCGCCTCGACGCGCGGAGGCCCGGCCCCTCCGACGTGAGAGGGCGGGGGGGGGGGGACGCCGGGGAGGAGCCGAGGCGCGGATGGGCGGCGCCGCCGCTCGGCGACTGCAGCTGCAGTCGAAAACCCGAACAAGGACGCGCCGGTAAGGACGCTGCCGCCTGCGTTGCCCTTCTCGTTGCTCTTTCGCCCTCTTCCTCTTTTGTCTTCGCTCGTTCCCGCCTCTGCCGCGTCGCCGTTGTGCTTCGCCTGTTTATTCTCGCCACCTGTGTGGCCTTCTTTTCCTGCGCGTCGCCGGCGGCAATTGCGCTGTGCCTGACTCTCGCTTTACGACCTGTTTAGACGGCGCGCAGCTGCCTGCGTCGCCCGCGAGCGAAAAGAGTACGTGTTGGCGTATGTTTCCGCATTGGGGGCGTAGTTTCAGTTCTCGGCATCAGCATCTGCCTGCAGGGGGACATGCCTGACCTGAGAGTGCAGTCAAAAACCCCAGCAAGGACGCGCGGGAAGGACGCGAGACCCTTGGGAGCGGAAGCTGGGATTTTTGGGGCGGCGGGCGACGAACGCACCCGAGGGCACCCTGACAAGCGGGCAAGGGAGAGAGGCCAAGGACGAGCCGCAAGAGCAAGGAAGAGCAAGGACGCAAGGGTACCCTGAGCAAAGTCGCGCGTCGTTATTAGGGTTTTTGACTGTAAGTCGGGCCTGCCCCCCACAGGCCAATGTTGAACGACGAATTGAAAAAAACACCCTAAAAAGGCTCAAGAATGGTCAAAAAATAGTCCCCTAAAAAATACTTACAAAAAGACCTAAAAAGGTACAACAAAATGCCGAAATACCCTAAATACCACGAAATAAGGCCTACAATACCGTAAAAAGGCCTAAAAAGCCCTAAACATAGTCCACACAAAATACCCCAAATACCCCACAATACCCAAAACGGTCACAACAAATAAACTAAAAAGGCTCAAGAATTGTAAAAAAAATAATCCCCAGGCTAGTTTTTGACAATTTTTGAATGGTCCCCCTGTAGAGGGACAAGCCCGACATCAGACTGCAATGGGTGTGGTTTGCGAAAGGTGCGGTTTGCCTCCCGTCATACCTGTCCCTCCCGCCCCTGGGAAACGGATGGCGCTGTCACTCCATGCGACCGGATCACATGACACTGTCGCTCCTTCTGGTACAGTGGAGCACACATCGGGGATGACAGCGCCGCTCGAAACGGCGACGACGACGCGCAGCCGCACCGATTGCAGTCGCCGATCCGTGCCGAGGAAGGCCGCAGCGCACGGGGCCCGCGGTGCGTCGTCGTCGTCGTCGTCGTCGTCGTCGTCGTCGTCGTGGGCGTCGTGGGCGTCGTGGGCGTCGTGGGCGTCGTGGGCGTCGTGGGCGTCGTAGCCGTCGTCGTCGTCGTCGGCCACGTCACCGCACTCATCCTCCCTAAGTGTCACCCCTCCCTCCCCGCACATCGACATGAAGAATGAAACCTGGCCATGTTTTTGTTTCCGCTTTCAAGACCGACTTTTGGTGTCCCGCTTTGGGCCAAATCTTAGATCTCCACCGTTTTGGGGTTATCGTTCGTGCCGCCGTCGGTCCGGTTTCGATTCCTTCTGCACCGCTGTTTGGTTTTGATGTAGGCACCTGTTGTGTTTTTCCCATCTTGGCTGGCCGAACACCGAAACCTTGAAGACGCAGCGTGTCTACAATCAAATGCGCCCCGCACCTCTGCGCCCCATCCAGTGCTCGCGCAAGACGGCTTCTCCTAACCGGCGGCGATCGATGGGGGCGTGTCTGTCAATGGACTTGGTCCCAAACGCGATGTACCATTAGGGCCTGTCGTTCCCGCGACTGTCCGACCCCGTGACGGGTCAGGGGGTTTCAGCGGCTGTGGATCCCCTTCTCTGGCGCGCTGAGGCGTGGCGGAACAGAAAGTGCTGTCTGCTAGGGCGTCTGGAGCCCTCTGAGCCCCCCCCCTCCCTTCGCCACACCTCGCTGCGCGCCCGCGCCTCTCCTCCCGAGGCGCCCTGGACTGCCGGTCGCGCCGCCAGGGCTCTCTCTGGGGCTCTCCAAGGATCCCAAAGCGGCCCGACCACAAGGGGCGCGAAGGCCGCCGCGGAAGCTCAAACTTGCCCGGGAAGCCCCTACGAGGCTCAGGTCGGGCACGTCCCCCTGCAGGACGATTTTGGAAGACAAATGAACACAAAAACAAAAGAGTATTCAGAAACATCGTCAAACAGATCAAAAGATGTCAGACATCGGATTCAAAAGAATACAAAAGTGAAGCACAGTCAAAAATGGTGGACAAATTGTCCCCAAAATATTTTTCTGACTATTTTTGAAGATTCCTCCTGTGGAGGGACATGCCCGACTTATCACTGCGCCGACCTTGCAGACGTGCTGCAGCGGATTTTTGCGTGGATTTCTGTCAATACAAAACCCCGACACGGCGAGAGAAAAACGAAGCGAATTTCGCATGGGTTTGTTTTCAGTCTTCACTCCTGGCCAAGACAAATCCGCACGAACTTCAACTCGAAATCCGGAACGAAATCCTCCAGGACAATCCAGGCCCATCCTATCCTTTTCCGAACGACATCCGCTCTGCGATGTTGGCGCCATGGGACTTGCCAATTTCGTTAAAAGCGTAACGACTTCTGCCGTCCTTCGACTCCCGCTGGAGCGGCCGCGAGTTGCTCCAACTTTCCCTGGAGATCTCTGGATCTACCTGGATTTGCCCGGATCTATCTCGCTTTACTTGGATTTACCTGGACTCCCCATGATGTATCTGCATCTGCCTGGATTTCTCTGATGCGATCCCCACAAGTCGATTGGCGAGAAGTCGACTGGCCCTTAGGGACCAAAAGGCCCCCAACGCGGTGCCAACGCACCCCTCGGACGGCCGAGCGGGTCCCAAAAACGGCACCGCACGGGCGCAAGAAGAGGAGGGCCTCAAGGGACGACCCACAAGGGCCGCGAGACGGCCCCACGGGAGCCCGAAGCGGCCCCGAGGCGGCCTTACCAGAGCCCCATCAAGCAATGCAGACGAGACCCAGACATGATCGCGTCGTGAAAAGAATCAAGACGGGAGGTTCTTGGCTATTTTTAACCCCGGGAGAAGCTCGCCGGGCCTCGGGACCGTCAAAAAAGGCTCAGGACGAAGAACCAGTCCCGGGGAAAGGGTCGGGGCTTCCAGGGACGCCGTCCCGAAAAAAACAAGACGTCGCATGTCTGGGACGACGACGGCGACGAGGACGAGGAGGCCGAGGCCGAGGAGAAGGCCAAAATGCCGCTGCGGTGTTTGCTTGTCCCTTGTCGTCCGAGCCGGCTCGTCTGCTCCGTGCCATCCGCTCCGATGCGCTCGCCTCGGCTCGGCCGGGGCCTCCGGGGAGAACCGGGGACCACGCCCGCCGCCGCCGAGAGCCCATCGGCGGGGGGGCGATCTCCATGGGCGGTGGCGCGCCCGCGGGCGTCACCGAGCACACGGCGACGCGCGGGCGTGCCAGCGCCCCAGGGATCGGCCCCGCCCCAGGAGGGCTGCGATGGAACTTTTGTCTGGGCTTCGAGAGAGGACGGCACGAAAGCGGGCGAGACGAATGCGGACGAGATGAAAGTCCACCCCCTCGTGCCCCATCCCCCTCCTCTCGAAGCCTCCCAGATGGGGTCGGAGCTCGAACTTTCTTGAAATACTGTTGAGTCGGGCCTGTCCCTCTACAGGGGGAAGATCCAAAAATAGTCAATAATCTGGGGACGATGTTTTGGTACTTGTTGGCGTTTTTTTTGTATTGTGTGGCGTAGTTGTTGGCTTTTCTTTGCTGTTGGCTTCAG